TGTATTTTATGCAAGTACAAGTGGTATTGATTACTGTTGAAAATAATGATACCAATTTGAAAATGATTTCAGATGATTTTTTGTATTGTAACTTCTGTTCAGGTAGGATGTGTGCTATAAATTCAAAAAGAAGAACTTAAAACTTAAAGTGTTTCCTCCAGCAGTAAATATAACATGTTATACTGTAGAAACTAAAATAGTTACATGTTGCTCACAGTAAAGTCTTGTTTTTCTATGATTTATTTTTGAAAACATACAAGAGGTACATCTGTTGTATTAAGAAAGATATATTATATTATTTATTTATGTATGTCAAACAATAATATTTACTATACTTAATGTTAACAACAGACTAGATTTTATACAGGTATAGAGTTGATGCATAATAGGAAACAAGGAAAGAAAGAAAAAACAATTATTTTTTACAAGGATAACAACTTCAAATTTGCCAGGTTGTCCTTAGCCAACCCCCTTGGCATTATTCTTTTTGGAATTATCCAGACCCGTTTACAGCTGGGTTATTTGAAAAATGCGGAAAGATGACTTTAACTTGTCATTGGCATTGGTTCAAAGTTAATGATGTCACTCTATTGTCCAAACTTACTAAAGACTAAAGTCTGAAGGGAATATGACGAGCTTGGACATTTGTCTTGACCTGGGTGTCTTATGCATGCGAAATATTGTTGCACCTAAACTAGAAACTTAAAGATAGTAGGGCTGTAGATTAAATTCAATGATTTTATGTTTAATGTCACAAAACATTCAGTAAAATGATAGGATGGTAAGTAGATGTCAAGTTAGGCTACAGCCTCAACAGATATCAGACCCAAGGCCACAAAATGCACCATAAACAACTTCTTATGTCATGATAATGGTCTGGGTGTTTCATTTTAAATTGGAATCTTAGATTTTCTTGTAAGTATTTTTTTCTAAGAAGTATTGTTATATCCATTTAAAAGAGAGATTTCTATCATCATTGCATTTGAATTTTACCATATAAATATGAATAAACCAAAAATTAACCAACTTTTCAGAAAGTTACTGTGATTATATTTGAATATAATAAAGGAATAAATACAAAACACAATATCTAGATACTATATGAAGGTGACAAACTATGGCCTAAAGGAGTTTAATGATATTATATGACAAGTTATATATCTCTATGCTATAGTAGTGTAAGACAATGTCATAATAATCTGATTTTATTTCCTGGTTTGGTTTGATCAGAACTGACATTTAATATTATACACTAGAATATCTAGCTTTGTCTTAAAAACACAACTTAGCAAGAAAGAGATATAGCCAGCAAAATAATTACTAGCTAACTGATGATGCTAATTCATGTATTTGTAATTGTATGGTTTAAATGTGTAAGAATATAGAAGTTACAGCAAATTTGTCAGCTTAAATAGACAAATGTGCCATTTTGAGGGGTTAATTTGAGTTTTGATTATATGTAAATAGTCTTCAGAAGTACTAGAAATGTAAGAAAATCACATAATTCCATCAAAATTATCTCAAACTAGGTATTTCTTTTCCTATTTCTACAGATGTCTTTTCTATGGCAGTGTCTCAAGAAATGACTAGTCTTTTTAACTTTCAAACGATAATTCTGACACACATGGATTTGAAGGCTAAAATTTTGATGGTGAACTGTGAACACTATTACTGGTTAGCTTTAGCTAAAAAATTCCCATTTCTGAGACTAAGGAATGATTAGTCAAAAATGGTGCATCTGTTCCTTAAATTAGATCTCCAATGTAGCCTACTAAATGTATTTGCTCTTTTGGTCAGTTTTGAGGTGTCTTTTTTGGACGTCATTTAGTTAAGAGAATGCATCATAGAAGTCAATGAATTTCTGTTTAATATCAGGATTTAGAAGACTAAATTGTGCTATATCAGCTTAAAAATTTGAGTTTGTAGCAAGTAAGATGGATAAGCTACAATGTCTGGTAAAAGTGACCTTTACAAATCACCATGATACAGTATCTAAGTTCATGTGAAATGTCATACATATAATTATCTTTAAATATTGACATGTTTCATCTGTATATTAAACTCTATTTAGGTTAAAATATAATATCTCTATCTGTACAGCTGTTGATATCCTTGTTTGTACATCTTTTAAATAGATAACACCCTCATCTTCATGTGTGTAGTATTTTAAAAGAGCAATAACTACAGTTTAATGTCTTTAAAAGAGAATTATCTGTGCAATAAACAGCTGGTGATAGCAATACCCTATATAGAAGCTAAAATTATACAGCCAAACTATACAACAGCCATAATGCATCTCTGATCCAAATTTCTCAAAAAAATCTCACTACCAAAATATAAGCATGAAGATTCACAGATTTTGGGAACATCATGCAATCAAAGCATGTTGCCTGGAATATAAAGATTCAAATGTCCTTTAATGTAAAGTTGAAAAGTGTGTCATTTTTTTGCACACAAACATTTTAAAAACAACATGATTTTATGCTTTAGTTTATGATATCAAGGTCCAAATACACTCAAATGTTATGGCTCCATTTTAATTTATGATTTATGAAATATGGCATTCAGATTGATAAAAAATAGTCTTGGAATTGTTTCACCATTGGCCTTAAGTGGTTGAGAGCAATAAAGGAAAGGGAAAAAAGAAAATGGTAGTCGATAATTCAACTCTAAATTCTTTATAAAACCAAAATGTTTGGTTGAAATTAGATAAAAAGGTAAAAGTGTGTCTAAGTGTCTTTAGATTCGATTTCCTCTTTTATTTCAATTTCCATCAACTCCAGACTTGTAGTAGTTATAGTCCTTATGTTATAAATTAAAATCATCTTAATAACTTCCTGCTAGTCTGACATTAAAGTACCAGACTATTTTTTCTCCAGATGTCAGGCTTAATGGCACTTTTTTCAAAGCATTTTTCTGTTAAACATTTTTTTCAGAATAATTTTTTTTTATTTACATTTGATTGAAGTATGATTTGCTGTATGCATGAGCTTGATGAGCGAAGATATTATTTTTATTATTTAACTTCCATTTTCTATCAAATAACCTCACCTTGTTGGATGTAGAGATTTAGAGACAGCTGACAGAGGGCAAATTACTACTTTTTGGGGTTCAGTAGCACAATTGGTGCGAGCATTGGAAATCATACATGATGTCATTTGACTGGTTACATCAAATAGATGGTGGTGTAGGTTTCAAATCTTGGTTTGCTTTTGAAAATTTGGTGACCTTGAATAAGTGATAATTCCTCATTATTCCAGTCAACCCAGCTGTAATATGGTACAGATAATGGGGGAAAGATCAATATCAAGTGGTTTGGCCCAGGACCAGCTGGTAGAAAGGATCCTATTAAACTTTTTGAAACACCTGATCGTACAACGAAAGATTTGAACAAGATTTTGATTAACTTGAATCATCTTGCTTGTACAGATTTTTTTGTTTTATTTATTTTGAAAATAATAAGGTAAAATAAAGAAGGAAAGTGATTGTACATTATAATGTTTTTATGTTAAGTAATAGTTAAGAGTTATAATGTGTAAAATAAGTTGTCTTGTTATATTTACTTATTAAAAGGTTAAAATGTTTAAAAGGTGTGAGATAAAGAAACAATTTAACACCTTTCTTTTGTCTCTGTCCTTAATTTAAGACTGTCCTTCAGTTTTTCTCATTTTGATGAAAGGTCAAAAAACTGAAAATTATCCCTTCTTACTAAATATATTGTTAAGAGAAAAGGAACATCTTCAGTAAAAAGTTCATTAAGCCTACATGGACCCCCACAACATGACTGTAATGATAACATTCTATTTTGACCATACTTATTTTCCCTAATAATTTTCATAGTTTAAAAGTTCAAACTAGCCCCTGGTCAGTTGTAAGTGGTATTAATTTTTTAACCATGAAGTTCAAAGAGAGAAGATCTCCTTTAATTCAGTTGACCACTAGTTAGTGTTTATCTATTTGATGAGAGAGATTTAGTGTTAATCTAGTGTCAATATAGTGTTTCTATATTACCAGATCTACTGTTGAGGTTGAATTGTGTCAACAACCCAGTGTTATTGACTGTACTTAAAGTTAAAGTATTGGTGAGGTGAATTCTTAATGAAGCACTGCAGCCATATTATTAAAAAGTCCAAATTGATTCCCTGAATCTGTTCCCTTTATCCTAAACATGCTCATTTTCAGATGCAAGTAGCCAAAATTTGCGCTGAATATTGCGTTGCCTTGAGGTGTTACAATCCAGTAAGATGGTCCACTGTTTTATTGTATTGCTAGCATAATTATATTTAATTTGTGACATTTTTGAAAGCTGACATTAGACCCACTTTTATTGGCACCATCTGTGGCATCAGAATTGGTTTTACCAGATTCCACTGCCAAAATTTGTCTCTTGCATTTCAGATCTTCTGATATGAGTTGTATTTTTGTTGCAACATTTGTCATATCTTTTCCTTCAATGTCCTAGATTGTAGTTTTTTTAGTAGTTGACTAATTTGACCTTTGTAAGAAAGAGGGAAAAAAAGAAATAGCAAAAAGACTGTGTTGAAACAAACCTGAAATACTAGTATCAAAATATGTTTATGGATTTAGCTAGTTATGAAACCAGTTGGCAACTCAATATAGAGAGATTTATGTTTTAACTGAAGATTAGAACATTAACCTAAAAACTAGACATTTAGATTTATATTCTTGGTTTATTCACCATACTAAAATAACAACAATTGTCCTGTTTACCATTCAAATCAAGTGGAAAACAATGAATAGATAGTGTGATTTTTGTTGATAAAAAATTGTATTCACCTCATTCCACTAGAGCTGTAAATTTATATGCAAATTTTCCAATCAACCCAGTGTAAAATGTAATTGTTATATGAATAATGAGTATTTAATCTTCAATTAACTTCACTAAATTATGTCATTTAAAAAACCAACTTGGGTAAAAGTTGTACTTTTTCCAGTTGACTCAGAAAATGTAAATGTAGGTATAGTTATTGAATTGATAAATGACTCTTAAGGAGGTTGAATATGTAAATCTAAATTTAACGGAACAAAATTTCATGGTATGTTTAGTTTTGGAGGAAAGATCAATGCAAAGCGGCTTACAAGATCAATAAGGAGATGCAGAATTAAATGTCCTCCCCCAAAATGACTGTATTTTAATACGCAATGAAACCCTCAATAACAGAAATTTTTCAACCAGCTGCTACCAAAGCACATTGACTCCTTTCCTTTTGATTGCATGTGTTGGGTGCATGACAAGTTGGTGGACAGAGTATACTTAAGTTATTACTCTTGTAACATGTGGATATTTAATTTCTTTTTCTTTTTAATGCTTTGACTTAAGAATGAAATTGACTTTACTAATATTGAATTGTGTTTGCAAAGTGTTTCAGAGCAGAATGAATTAACATAATAGGAGAGAATTTGATATTTTCTAATAAAACTGTAGAAGTATCATGTAATATAAATATGTTTGTATACATACATGTAGATATTACTTGTTAGTGTAAGGTGGAGTAATATATACCTCTTCTATTCTCAAATAATAATTACATACTACTCAGATGATGAAATTTGACCAGGTGTACTATAATAACTAGGTGTATCATAACATTTCCATGAGTATAATTATATATATATATCTATTTCATAATATCCAGTTCTATTTTGATAGATGCCATATTGGTATTGCTTGCACTCTTAAAGCATGGGTCTGTTTTTTTTTCGATCAGTTTTTTTTTTCAATCAGGTTTTGTGACTTCCATCATGTAGAAAAATATGTCGCTAGCCATAACAATTTCAAGCAAAAGTTTTTTTTGTTTTTTTAATACAGCAATTCTTAAAATGAAGGGTTTCTTGGTTGCAAGGTAAAAGTATATTAACGATAAGAAAGGTTTAGATTTAATATCAGCGTTAGGCATAATCTTACACATTGAAATTAAATCAGACTCTCCCTTTTAACTTTAATAAGTGAATAAAACTTGCACTTGACAATGTGTCAATGACAGATTTTATAAATAATAGTGTGACAAACTGACAAACATATTTTTTTGAACGTACTGTACTTATTCCCCTTTTGATAAGTTCCTTTTAATGTTTAACAGTTGGCTTCATATTGCATATATCTATTGAATATAAGCTTATATATACATGTAATTTTAATTGTATCAATCAATAATATTGCATCAATATATTATATCTTTTAACTTACATTCAAGCTTTGTTGGAACTGTAATTTTGGGAAATTAGTAGGAACATGCAGAGAACATTACCAAATGTTGCAAGGATGTCTCATATATATGATTTGTAATATTATATAATTATAGGATGATGATGAATATGTAGGTTTTGCTACTCTACCAGATCAAGTACATAGAAAAGCTGTGAAAAGAGGATTTGATTTTACTCTTATGGTTGTTGGTAGGTATATTATTCTTTCTAATAAATTTTTCTGTTGCTGTTAAACAATTGATATTAGAAATTAAGACAGATTAAATAATTTCTTGACATTTGTCTGATTAGCTTCATGGTTCATTTACTAATCATGTTGGGTGTCTCCTGAATTCTGAAATGGCAGTGAAAAAAAATTCGAGAGTTGACACTGTTATCCTGGCTAAAATTGTGTTCATTGCAGGCTCACTTTAATGATGATGCCATACTTCTTCAACCTTAATCAGAATCTTAACCTGTATTCATACCTGAGTTTGTCATTTAGATGTGACATTTATATGTGGTGTTTCGGCATTTGGTGCCATATTGCAGCCATATGTAACAAAATATTTGGAATTTTTCAGGTGAATCAGGTTTAGGAAAGTCCACATTAATTAATAGTTTATTTTTAACTGAATTATATGGTGAAAGAGAGGTAGGATCTGTTACAGGTGAGGAAAACAACAGTCATTTTACTGTTATGGGGTTCTATAGCACAGTAGGTTAGAGTGTTGGTTCATCACATAATGTCGTTTGCTTGTTTATGTCAAAAGGTGTATCAAAGTCCACACTTCTTCGCTTATAATTCCAGGCGACCCAGCTGTAAATGGATACCCAAACCCTGGAGATGTCCTGAAGAGGATTTTGTAAGTAAATAATGTACTGGAAACACATTAGAAGCTCATCTCATGAACTTTTTTTTTCAGATCGATTAGAAAAGACAGTAGAAATAGAAAAGAAACAGTTAGAAATTGAAGAGAAAGGTGTAAGATTAAGATTAACTATAGTTGATACACCAGGTTATAATGATGCTATTAATGGAGATACGGGGTAAGTTACTTCTAAAATACCTGATGCTTCTCTGTAATTGGGATGTTCATCTACCAACACCAGTTTCTTTGCTGGAAATAAACTAAAAATTGTGTGGTTATTTCCAATTATATGATTCTGGAATTTGGTTGTAGAAATCTGATTGGTTGATATGATATCTGCAAATCCAACAACCAATCATTTTTCCATGCTTTTGTTCTGAATTATTAGTTACAATGTTTCTGCAAACAAGCTTAAGATTAGAAAGTAAGACCTAGCATACTTTTAAATTACCAGTGAACAAGAACTATGGCTTAATTTAGTGCACTAAAGTATGACAGGAAACTGTACATTTCAGTTCATTTTAAAGGGACAGTCCGCCATCAGTTTGAGCAATCATACCTCAGTCTTAGTAAGCCAATCAGTAATTCTGTTCACAACTCATCATCCAAAATTGAGTCTTCAAATCCATGTGTGGCCAGAATAATCAACATTTGAAAGTTAAAATGACAACTTGTCTTTTCATATATAGAAAAGACATTATGGCAAACCTCTTTATACAATGATAATACGTGTATATGTATAGAAATTATTATATTTTTATAGAGTAAAATCTATTGTGGAGTATGTTGATAAACAATTTGAACAGTATTATACTGATGAAACTAGTATCAATAGAAGACATATAGTAGATAACAGAGTACACTGTTGTTTATATTTCATCTCACCTTATGGTCATGGGTAGGTACACCTCTTACTTTTTATTTTATATCAATAGCTCTAGATGTTCTTAACCATGCTTGATTGACCTATCAAAGACAGAAAGAAAGGAATAACATGAATAACAAATTTAGGTTCTGGGGGATCTTCCTCAACAGCTGGTCCATGGCCAAAACTCTTGGTATTAACTGGAATAATAAGGAAAGATACAGCTGTTTGATTTGGCTACATTTTCCACCAATGCCTTTTTGGTGATTTTTTTTTAAAAATAATCCAGTACATGTATATGTTTGGAATTTTTTGATGTGTGCACTGCATATCTAGATTTAGGCATGAAACCTGGTTATAAATTTTTTTGGCAGAACTATATACATTAGTCGATTTGATATTGAATTATTGAATGATATATTTCAGGTTAAAACCTATAGATATATTTATGATGAAACAATTACATCATAAACTAAACATAGTACCAATTATAGCTAAATCAGACATTCTTACTAAACCTGAAGTTAATAGATTAAAACAGAAGGTAGGTACTGTATTCTAAAAATAGTAGTTAACCCTTGAATGAAGATATGACTTCATTTGGTAGCCAGTAGAACTACTAGTGTTCATGGGATAAGTTTAGGAGATCTTGGATTCCAATTTATAATGTTTCCCAGAGATCAATGTGATTCATTTACATGTATAGTAGACTTAATGTGAAGAATATATTTTCTATGTATTTGTTTTTATTTTCTAGATTCTAGATGAAATAGATCATCATTCTATACAGATCTATGAATTCCCAGATTGTGATAGTGATGAAGATGAAGATTTCAAACAACAAGATGATTTATTAAAGGTTTGTAGATGAGATATTTCTTTGTGTGGAAGAATTACTTCAGAAGAAATATTATGATAAAGCTGTAAATTAAGGGAAATTACTCTATGAAGATTATAGGAAGACAGTTTTCAGCAAGGCTACCTCACAATTTTTAATTTACGTAATAAGGGATTATAAGTTACCTGTAACACTTTTAGAATATAGATTTGACATTAGTTTCTCTTACCATTCAACAATAATCGCCTGAAAGAGACAACAATCTGAACTTTAATGTATATATTTGAAGTGTCAGAGAGCCAGACGATGGATTTTAAATTTTAAAAATTGCAAAGTTAGCTACAATTTAGCTCTTTGTGCTGGATGAGCAAATATTTGAAAGGCTGTCATTTTATATTGAAGACAAAAGATTATAAATCTAGTAGATAAAGGGGAATAACTCTATGGAGATTAAAGGGGGATAATTTGATAGAAATTATATTTTCATATTGTTATAAGATTATGTTGATGTGTTGGAATTGTAGGCAGCTGTACCATTTGCTGTAGTGGGTTGTAATACAGTGGTAGAAGCAGGTGGTAAAAAAATCAGAGGTAGAGCTTATCCTTGGGGCATTGTCGAAAGTAGGTTTTATTTTAGTTGTTTATTTTTTTAGGTAAATTTGGTATTTTAAAATATCCATGTCAGTAGAAGTCAAATCAGCTTGCATATCCTAGAAAAGTATATATTTATTTTTGACTGTATGATTGCATATATTTAAGATTCATCACTAAACAAAAGCTTACTTTGTGCAGTGTAAAAAATCTTGTGCAGGCATCAATGAATTTTGCTCGTCAAATGGTAATTCTTTTTACCATACTTAATTGATATTACAGTGTGAATTTGGTTTTTTATTTCAGTTGATAATCCTAGTCATTGTGATTTTGTAAGATTACGACAAATGTTAATTAGGTCAGTTTTTACACACTTCATCTTCCATATTTAATTTGATTTCCGACAAAGCCTGAGTAGATGTACACCATCTGACAAAGCCTGAGTTGATGTACACCATCTCACAAAGCCTGAGCTTATGTACACCATCTGACAAAGCCTCAGTTTATATACACCAACTGACAAAGCCTCAGTTTATGTACACCATCTGACAAAGCCTGAGTTCATGTATACCATCTGACAAAGCCAGAGTTTATGTGCACCATCTGACAAAGCCTGAGCTTATGTACACCATCTGACAAAGCCTCAGTTTATATACACTATCTGACAAAGCCTGAGTTTATATACACCAACTGACAAAGCCAGAGTTTATGTACACCAACTGACAAAGCCTCAGTTTATGTACACCATCTGACAAAGCCTCAGTTTAAGATGAGATATAAGTGTTTATATTATCTCTTGGTATAATGTATATATGGTATATTATATTTTAGTACCCATATGCAAGATTTAAAAGATGTGACGTCTGATATACATTATGAAAATTATAGAGCAGAACATATTCAAAATCAAATTGGTACTACTCAAAGAGAAAGAACGTAAGTTAGAATTAAGTCTTGAAATTTGAATCTTAAACTTTTAAATCTTGATAGATATACCATTTATAGAGATTGCTTAAATTTGTGTAAATTTGAAAGGCATGAATAATCTCAGTAAAGACCAATATTTGTTGATTAGTTCACATTTGGCTGTATAGTCTAGAATATTAACAGTTTTTTTTTTCATTATGAAATTTTATGAATCAGTATATTGATATATTATGAACAGATGTAGTTTTTGTTTTGCAAAGTCATTTTAAAACGCTGATTCCATATTGTTTGATTTGACAAGCTTACATTGACATTTTTTCTGTGTAATTTTTCAGTAAATTAAAGAGAGATTCTATGATAGATGGAACTGGTGAAGCCACAGAAAAATTATTACAGCAGAAAGAAGCTGAGGTATCATTCATTCCTTCATATAGAATTCAATTATTATTCATGCCTCCATCTTGGCTAGGCAGCATTTGATTTTCAGGATTTGTTTCATGTGATCAGTGTAGGAGTCAGAGATATTAATTCTTCTGAAATCTATTTTGCTTTCATTTAAAAAGTGTCATGTTGTCAGCCCTGTCAGTGAAGACAGCTATTTTTGGGAAATGGTGGTCATTTGCATAAATCGGATTTGTAAAGTTAGCAACCCTCTGAACAAAATTACCATATGATTTTCCACCATTTTGCAATTTAGCCAGCCCTGTGTTGAGCTGTCTGCTTTTAAATGTATTTAGCAAAAGGTTGGTCTTGCCTTCAGTCACCTATTGGTATGATTTAGAACACTAGGAAATTTTTCGGAAGACAGGGCTGATGAAATACTCTCTAAACAAATTTTGACTTTGAGAACAACATAAGCTTTGTAATTATTTGATTCAATAATTTTTCTCCTTACAGATTCAAAGAATGCAGGCAATGTTAGCAAAAATGCAGCAGCAACTAGGGCATAAAGATAGTGTAACAAAACCAATGAATGGTTTAGGTACCTTATAATATATATTATAATATTTCTAGTGACCTTATTATTTATTAACTTTCCACTGCCTATTTATTTAACTTTTATTATTGGTCAGGTAGATTTGTTAATCATCTTATATGCCAGTCATGTTCAACTGTAGAGGCAATAACTTCTGAATAAAGCAAGTGTTATGGTTGGTGCTGGAGATTAGTCGTTGTTATAAAAAAAATTTGTGTCAAAAAAATAAATAGGAAAAAAATTTTATGGTTCTTAAAGATATGTGTATGGTACGAGTATGGTAATAACCATCTTCATAATGTCAAGCTATTACAAACTTCATCTTATAACTTCACTGCAATAGCCACTTTTCTTATATCATGGAATGCAGCAATTTGATTGGATTGTTTGCCAGCAAATATAGCCAATTGGAGGCCTTGACAGAATTGCTGTCAATGTTATGGCTTTGTGTTGTAAATCTTTATGCTGAAGTCTCTGATTGGCTGTATTCCCTAGCATACAATCCAATAAATCGCTTCATTTACAAACTTCCATGATACAAGCAATAGCTTGATATGGTGAAGATGGTCAATACCGTTTTTTATGAATATGTATATCTCCTAATGGTGTTCGGATGATATGTGTTGATCTAATGTCCTTTTTAATGGTATTTGGTTCTTTTATACACATAATCTTTATATATAGGATCATTATTCTATTTAAATAACATCACTATGCTTTTTAGAAAGAACATTTCTACTGTCAAATTTCAGTACACTTTTAAAATTCAGAGCTGTTTTGGAAATTTCTATCATAATTTTTCAAATTAATTACCGGGAAATATCATCAAAATATTTGATAGTGCTCAATTCAGCTATGTGTATCACTTTTAAAAATTAGACTCCAATGTCTGGTTATTTTACGATTCATTGAAATATATCAGGGAAATTTAGACTATCATCACCTCCCTGCTGTTATTGATTTTCTCACAGGCAGTAATGTCCTCTGACATATTGATATCGGCAACATCTGCACAATAGAACGTCAAAAACACTGTAACACTTTTCTGAATTTATTTTCTAGCTAAAACAGAGTCAGTAGTTTAACCTAAAAGATGAAAAAGGAAAATGCCAACAGAAGAATAAACCAGGAACAAAATCAAAGGAAAATGTCATAGGAAATAAATCAATAAGAACAGAATATGAATTTGATTTTCAAATCAAAAGAAAACAAAAAATCCTGAGATACACTGCCTACCAACTAAAAATTACATTTTACAAATTTGATGTAGTGGTAAATTAACCATGGTAAATTTTGGAGATTCTGGCAGTTGATTGAGGTTGATTGATCAAAGTAAACAAATTTGAATCAGTGATTTTGCCCAGAGTGTAAGTGAAGTCAAAATTTGACAAAAGTATCTAAGGATAAATTGGTTTTAGCCTATGACTTTTTGATTTTGATTTTTGTTCTGTTTTGTTCTTTTGTTGATTTTTTTCCTTTGATTTTTTAACAACGTATTTTGGAATTGTAAATATTTATGTACATCATATTTTATTTTTATATTTTCATCATTTTCTTAAAAATCATTTTGTCTTGTTAGATGTTGTCATTTTTAAGACATTTGTGTCCTTCTTAGCCTCTGATATATAATTTTGATAGATGGTGTCATCAAACTTATACATCATAGGCTATACAAGTGTCAAAAAACTTCAAATTACAGGTCATTGCATTTAAGGAAAAATTTCAGATTTCAAATTCAGAGATTTAAGATTTTGGAGGTGAAAAGGATATTTCAAAGTTTACAACATTCCTAGGGGTATTGCAAACACAAGATCATTTGACAACTCCACTATAAATTTCCTTATTTTAGCTGCATTCTCCATATGCTTTTGAATTGAATCAAAATTGAAATTGAGATTTCTTCATTTTCTTTATTCAGTTATTCTAGTAAGATATGTGACTTTCATTTAAAATTCTTCTGTTACCTTGTTAAGCATATGGACTCTTCTGTACATGCATTTTAATGTGGGGGTAAGATCTAAATGGAACAGTTCATTTGTGATTACAGGGTTTTTTCATTTGACCCAATGATTAAGCACCAGTGTTATTTGTGCTGCACAGTACAATGTATTTGTGTTTGTAGTGTCTATGTCTGTACTAGATATTATTTGTTAGTTAAGGATTCATTTCTATGGTATAAATAAAATATATCACTTTATAAAAACGATTTTTACCAAAAGTGTTTGTTATATTTATCTTTGTTGCATTCAGCAGCTCACCTCCATTGAACAGAAGTTATTAGAGCACAAATCACCCCCATTCCGCCTGGTTGCATTCACAGTGATAAGGACAACCAAATATTAACCAGATTACACCCCAGCTATCTCATCAAACCAGTACCAACCTATATTCAATTAATAAATAACAGACGAACACAGGATCACAAATGAATTGAAAGGTAACACAAAATTGAAATGTAATGGACGTACATGTATGAAAATCCAATTTATTTGGTAAAATACGTACATTCTCAAGATACCAGTTAAGGAGTTCTGCAATTGGGTAGAATGAAAAATTTACTTACTTGAATATAGAATATTAAATTTCTAAAATACTTTCACAAATAGAAATATAGCCTACATCATATCTATGGGATTAAGGTGAGATACGATTGGTCAAGTGGAGGGCGAAAGTGTCCCTATAAAAGTTCACTTTGGTGTTACTTTTGGTCACTTTTATTTTAGTAAAGTACGTGGGAATCGTGTAGTTAGGTATTGTGAAAATATGTATCCTTGTGACTAAAATGGTGCCAAACCGGATACTGTTCTAATTTTGTAGTATTGTAGTATTTCAATTGTACATCTACTGATTTTCAATTAGTAAATATAATTAGTCGACACCTTGACTGAAATATAAAAAGAGACGTCAACACATTTGGTCACTATTCTACAGTAGAGTTGCTATGACTGGGATATATTTACTAGTACTGGTTCTGTTGGTACCATTTTGTCTTGCAGAACAATTCCATTTTTTTACAAGAGGTGAAAGTACTGGTGTAACGTTTGATACAGGTGGTGGTAAACGTGATGAACTAAATTGTTATATTCTACCTCCTGTTTCAAGGTGGGTATAGTGAATTAAAGTAGTATAGAGGGGTGGGGCGGGGTGCTGAGGTTGGTTGGTGATTCATTTTATTAAGATGAACACGAGAAAATGCCATCAATTCGACGACATTAAGCGACTGACCAGATTCCTGTAGTGCTGTCAGTTGTTAAAAAAAGTTGCTCCAAGATTCTGCCAGTCACCCCAAATGTTTGTAAGATTCCACTGAATGTCAAAGACCAACGGAGGATTGAAAACACTAGTAAAGTAATAGTAATAGTAATCGAGTTATTATATCATGATAATTGTTTTCTATTGTGATAGTAAACTTGACTTGCATCAATTATCAATCTCTGAGTTAAAATATGAAAGCACATATACTTAAGAAGATACTTGCAAATATTTGCGACTAGGAAGACAAAGATGATATAATGATAACCTATCTTTATTGTTTAGTCGCCGAGAGACGGTAAATGAAGTTTCTGTTGAAGAATTGAACAGAATCAAAAAATATTGTGGAAGCAAGAAGAGATCTATTACAGCAAATAAACGAACAATTATAAATATTATTGCACCTGGTAAGTTTAGTCACAAAATGTTCAATGTTGCTATTTTGAAAATACTAAATGACTAAATTTCAGTCAAACGAGCATTATAAGACCTTGTTACACGTCAACAAGAAGGCTGTTCGGAATAGCCTCAGGTACACGTAGATTAACCATAAATTTGTCCATGAACCGCCTTGAGGGCCCCTTAGATGGAGTCAGTAAACCAGGAAAATGGTTAATTTTACTGACTCCATCCAAGTTATACTTAATTTGCGTGCATCTGATCTTCGTACGGCCCCTAAGGTTAACGTAGACTGACGCTTTTTTTTCTAGGAACCAAATGGTGTGGCACTGGTAATGTGGCCAAGAATGATGCTGATTTAGGGTCCAAACCAGTAACTGATGCCTGTTGTAGAACTCATGATAAATGTACACCAAAAATTAATGGATTCGGAAGAAAGGGGACTTTTATCAACCTTTTACCATGGACGAGGTGTGTTGTTTACTCGTATAAAGCTTGTGTTTCTGATGATAGAATTCGAATATTATTTGTTTTTTGACAACGAGCTGGGATAAAATTGCAACGAATAACATAAACGGTGGGTCAACTAGATTAGTGGGGGCCCATGGACTTAAGAGGTACTGCGCACATCGCCCGGGAATTTCTGTTTTTTTTTTTTAACTTGCTCTCTCGCAAGTCAATTCAATGCCTGTTAATGGAAGCTATTCCTGGGGTGCGGCCTTTTTTAGTGATGGTCCCTAAGATATTTGAGCCACCGAGCAACCTTTCCCTCGGATTAAGTACTACACATGGCCAACTCAAAATAAGAAATAAACGTCATTCAAATTTCAGGTTACATTGTGATTGTGATAATGCTTTCCATACGTGTCTGAAAAATGCGAAAAAAACAGAAAAGTCTACTGCAGATCTTGTTGGTATAGCTTATTTTAATGTCTTGGCAACCAAATGTTTTAAAGAACATTCTTGGAGAATCTGTATTAAATTTGGGTACGTATATGTTTTGTATTTGTGTGGGCAAATTTTCATCTCATGCTGCACAGTGTGATGTTACTATGAATCAAGTATGGGGCCACAGAATTGACAAGGGGGCTTACAAGCAATACTATGTACAATGATAAACGAAAATCGAAAGTGGGGCAACCAGTAGAAACCCTCTTAAAATGCCACTGATGCTGCATGTTTAGAATAAACCTAACCAATGTAGGACTTTGGGAGAATGAGCGAATACACTGAACACTGAACATGAATCAAAAGTTATATCGAAGTCCGTTTTCGTTTCGATGTAATCGAGTCGGTATTACTGGAAAGTGGAGTGGATATTTTGCCGTCGGTCTTGTAGACAATGGTTCTTTATTTCTGTTTCTAAATATCTTTCAGGTGGTTTAAATGCAAAGAATATAAATATTTCAATACTTATAAATGGGTATCAACTAAAAGTTATTAAAATATTCATCAAATTGTGTGTTCTTTCTTTGTGAATTTATTGTACCAGATGTATGCCCCTCCTCTATTATCATTTCCTCACTGCAGCAGTTTACCTAGTATTGAAAATTATAGCATAGTTTTTAAATGCCTCTGCAAAAAGTCAGTTTTAAATTGTGTTCTTTTGAACGGTTCGGCATCCGTTTGACCAACCGTACCTTAGTCTCCGAAATGGAATTTTTACGTCAAGCCAATCAGTAATAGTGTTCAAAGTTCATCGTCAAAATTTGAGTAGTATTCAAATCCATGTGTCCAGAATTATCCACATTTGAAAGTTGAAATGACGAGTCGTCTTTTCTTGAGACTCTGCCATATAGAAATGGAAAGTAAAATTTTTAGTTCGAGATATTTTTGAAGGGAGTATGCGTTTTTCGTCCAGTTCTAGTACTTCTGGAGGCCATTTACATATTATATTCAAGACCAAAATCTAACCCCTAAAGTGGCGAACCATGACCTTTTAACTGTTTTTCTACGCGATTGCCTTTGTATGAATCATTAGTTGGAGTGCTTGATACTTGATACCAAAACCCCAGCATGTTTGGTTAAAAGACAGGTCTACCAAATGGAAAAGCAAATGCTTGTATATATGTTTTATAAAAAAAAAACTTTAATATACATACATTTAAATGATTATGTTTAGATGAAATAAAAATGGTATACATGAATAGTCCTAAATATGATACAATAAAAAGATATTTAAACATTATAATATAAAAATAAAGATATATATTGGTATAATTGAATATTATTTCGACAGGAATGTATGTCAATCACAACCAGTGACAAGGACACTTACAATGAAAACAGAACTGCACTTACAATGAAAATTGGACAGAACTTACAATGAAAATTGAACTATTATTCAAATTGAACAAATATTATTTGGACAGGAATGTACGTCAATCACAACCAGTGACAAGGACACTTACAATGAAAACTGAACTGCACTTACAATGAAAATTGGACAGAACTTACAATGAAAATTGAACTATTATTCAAATTGAACAAATATTATTTGGACAGGAATGTACGTCAATCACAACCAGTGACAAGGACACTTACAATGAAAACTGAACTGCACTTACAATGAAAATTGGACAGAACTTACAATGAAAATTGAACTATTATTCAAATTGAACAAATGTGGACAGGAATGTATGTCAATCACAACCAGTGCCACTTTTAATGAAAACTGAACTGCATTTACAATGAAAACTGATCTTCACTTACAATTGTTTTAGCACTTGGTGTCTAATATGAAGAGTAGCCTACAATCTAGCAAGATTTAACAGCACTTAAGAATGAAAATTGGTCCATACATACTGTGAAAAATGAAGAGCACTTTGTATGAAAACTGAATGGCACTTACTATGAATATTGAACATCACAAAATGGACATAGTGAAATTTTCTCAAAGAATGTTTTTGAAGGCGTATACATATAAATTCAATCCAAACTTTAACTTACTCTAAAATGACTTGACATATTTACAATTATGTTGAATTTAAAATTAAATATTGGATTATGATTACCAAAAACCTGTCACCCAAACTCACTCTACTAAATCAAGTTACACAATCCTAAAACGAGAAAGTCCTCTTAACAGTTGTTTTACCACATGATAGAGCTCAATTCAAAATAGATCTCTCTGAATTGGTAAAGCAAATGTAAACGTCAGTGTCCCTTCCCCATACACAAAACTTAACCAAAGACTCATATTCTTCAAACGAGATCTTTTAAAATTGTACAAACTAGTCATGTTAATGATGAGTATCTATATGTAATTCAATCTATGATTACTATAAAGAGAAGCATGACTAAGGCACGATTAAAAGCACTATCAGATTCAGTTTAAAACTACAAAACTTCACATAGTTAGCTACAATCATTGTATTCTAGCAGAATGCATTCGGTGAGGTTGTCTTGTTCTTGTGTCAATCAGTTGTGCTTATATCACAATATGTATATCAATAACTCAAAGTTGATGGAATTCTTTCAAAATTTGATTTCTGTTACACCTGGCCAAAAATCATTTTCATTGATCAATAACCTATATAAAGAGTATTGAATACACATATTTAATACACAGATTTTTCCAGATTTTCCTCTTTAAACATTGTATTGAATTAACACTAAGATATTACGCTTCCCCTCACATATTGTGTTTATAACACAAGTAAAATTATAATCGTCATAAATCTATGCGTATCTAATATAATAGTAAATATATATTAAAAAACTAATATAAAATAATATACCATAAAAGTAAAAACATGAATAATTCATAATCAACATGATAAAATAATGTGATTTCAATGCCTAAATTTTTTTTTTACAAAATGGTGTACATGTATGTAGAAAAAGTCACAATGACCCCCTATCTCCCCTTCCTTACTTTTACATGTATATCATTTTGTTTGTAACAATTCCTTACATGGCTTAGCCATACAAAACTATATATACAAATAACAATAACAAAGAAAAGGATATCAGATAATCACTTTAAAATTCATTGGACTCATCCTGAGTTTATATCATGTCAAAAACAATGTTGAAGTATATATTGTTAGTTGACTGTATACAAGATTTACATAATGGTAAGAAAGGGTGCGCATTATATACACAATTGTACAGTAGCATGATATAGTCTTCCATTTATTTCATTTTATCATCTGATTTTTTTAAATTTCAGAATAACAAGCCAATATTAGGTTCATCTTTAATACATGTCTTCTAATTAAAATTTAAATAACTTTCAAGTTGGTTGGTTGGTCAAATTGACCAAGTTGGTCTAAAGCAAAGATGAATGAAGTGATGTAATGACCAACAGTAAAAATTTAAAGTGGAACTTAACTGATAAAGAAAACCAATATGAGGACTGTATATCTCTAGGTAAACTGTATGGACATTGAAAAGTTATAGTGGAAAATCCTGAGAGAATTCTTAATTTAATTGATCTTTCTTTTACATTCTTAACTTATTCAATTTGAGCAACTTATAGTGATTTAGTTGAAATAAAAGACTACTTAGTAGCTATGCCCTCAAATCTAATTATTTGGTCGATTAGGAATGCTTTTCATACGGGATCTACAAAATTACTAAATCCCAAATTAAAAATATGCCATGTCAAATGCAGAAATCACATACTATTTGTTCATTTCATATCTATTCAGACACATATCTATTCACAGACATATATCTATTTACAGACACATATCTATTTACAGACATATATCTATTCACAGACATATATCTATTCACAGACATATATCTATTTACAGACATATATCTATTTACAGATAAATATCTATTTACAGACAAATATCTATTTACAGACATATATCTATTCAGATATATATCTATTTACAGACATATATCTATTTACAGACAAATATCTATTCACTGACATATATCTATTTACAAACATATATCTATTCACAGACATATATCTATTTACAGACACATATCTATTTACAGACATATATCTATTCACAGACACATATCTATTCACAGACATATATCTATTCACAGACATATATCTATTTACAGACATATATCTATTTACAGATAAATATCTATTTACAGACAAATATCTATTTACAGACATATATCTATTCAGATATATATCTATTTACAGACATATATCTATTTACAGACAAATATCTATTACTGACATATATCTATTTACAGACATATATCTATTTACAGACATATATCTATTTACAGAGAAATATCTATTTACAGACACATATCTATTTACAGACATATATCTATTCACAGACATATATCTATTTACAGAGAAATATCTATTTACAGACACATATCTATTTACAGACATATATCTATTCACAGACACATATCTATTCACAGACATATATCTATTTACAGACATATAATCTATTTACAGACAAATATCTATTCACTGACATATATCTGTTTACAGACATATATCTATTCACAGACAGAAATCACATACTATTTGTTCATTTCATATCTATTCAGACACATATCTATTCACAGACACATATCTATTTACAGACATATATCTATTTACAGACCATCATTGGGTGTTTTAGATCTCTGTCTTCTTTTCACTTCTTCATCATCTAATGTTGTTACATGACGTAAGAAAAATAACGTGAATACTAAACCCACAATCTGAAAATTAATGAAGATATAGTTTTAGAGCTCGGTCTGTATAAAATCTTGCAATCTGTTATAATATTTTTACATTAGCTTATAGTATGATAGGAAGCACTAATTTTATAAAACATAGTAATTTTAACAGATCATTTAAAGGAACTACGTCTTAGAATGAACATAGAATTCAAGAATTTTAAATTTGGCCAATAATACCATATATTCATCAGTAGATATACCTGGTGTCATAAATAACATAACAGGATCCTTATATAATCTGATAAATCCAAAAAATTAGTAATTATCCATAAATATGCTATTAACTATTTAAAAAAAATCAATATCAAGATTAAGCGTTTTTCAATAATTACTTTGTTTTATGAATTTTCCTGATTTTACAGGGATTGTATTGTAACTTTATGACATCAGGTAAGTTCACTGATGAATATATACTCATATTGACCATTCTTGAGAACTTAAATTTTATGTTCATTCTAAGGTGTAGTATCACTTTAAAAGAGATGATTTTGCAGCTTGGTAAAAGGTCTGTTTAAAAGCTCACAATGATTTGTGTATGTTATCACCAACTGACTAATCAGATTTCCATGATTCTAATTTCTCCTATGTTCCTGACGACAAGACCAACTTTTTGAAGCATTATTCTGAGAATAACATTTAATACCACTCAAAATGTCTCTTTTGTGTTCAATGTGGCTGCTCACACTTATTTCTGAATTTTTGATGCAAAAATAAACTTGGGGCTCCATACTTTAAGTTACTGTAATAACAGTTCAACTTACCAAGGTTAAACCAAAGGTAAACCCTACAGCAACTATAGCACTAGAAGCATCTAATACAAAATTTCTAGCAGCTTCATAGCATCCCTGTATAGAAATTAAATAAATTTTGTTTGCATTAGTCACATAAATGTCTCAAAAACATTACAAAATATTAATATTAATCTCATTTTTTTTTTCAAGATATGTTGTTCTAACCAAAAACAGTTTTTAATATGCACTCTTTTTTTTCACTTTATTCAGCATCAGTGAGTTGATCATTGCATGACCGACTGTATTGACCCTTATAATACATCAAAATGTTTGTGACAGACATTGGAAGACAGTTGGAATTCGTAAAAGAATAGCCTAATGCTGCTGTCGCAACTAAATTTCTCTCAGTGCACCCAGCATGGTGTAGCCTATCCTCATTACTCCAACAAGTAAGTTGATTAACCTACCTCATAATATAAAGCTGTATTTTTTAAAGTATAGCTGGGATTTCTAGGTGGACCTAACTGCCATGTCTGACATTGTTTCTGGGCTACATAGGTATCAGTTCTTACATCTACCACACAACAAGTAGCAGGTACATAAGTTATTAGTGAAGATCGTGCTGTAGAAAAAAAATCAGAAATATTTCAAATATACTTAATACTAAGGCCATGAGCATACTATAATTTTAAGATATATTCTTAAACATTTCAGATTACACATATTTTCGGTTTAAATCTTCAATCTGCATTCTTAATGTTTTTTTCTCTTTCATGATTGATTTCATAATGAAAAGGAATACAAAGAAAGTGAAAGCTGAAAATGGAATAAGAGATAAATGTGAAATGAAAATAAAAGCTTAAAATAGAATGAAAGATTAGTATATATGCTTTGAAAATACAGATTTCCACAAAAAAAGCAAGAAATAGAACACATTAATATTCTCTATGAAATATCCATCAAAAAGACTATGAAAACGACATTTATGTGTTAATAAGAAAGTTCTATGCCAGTTGTTATGATAATGTTCCCATTGATACTAAAGCTAAATTAGTAATTTCTAGTCAATGGGTATTGTTACCGTGATTAAATTTATTTTCCACAAGAACCACGAGCCTGTGTCTAAAAGCTGGTTGAAAAATATTACAAATATCAAAATAAATAACACAAGAAACAGATCTTTGCTTGTTCACATAAAAAAGCGAGAAAAAGTGTTCATTAAGCTTAAAATAAAAAAATAAATAAGAAAAAGTTGAGGGCAATCTACCACTATTTAGTAGTTTAGTAAACAATATTAAAATCTATATCTAGTCTACTGAAGATTTATCCAACCAAACTTACATCTTGATGTTACAGTTTGTGATGGCCTCCTTATATCAAAATATTCTAACCAAAATAAAAAAATACTACATCAATATTCTACTTTAGATGTTTTGTTTCATGTTTTTATGTGGTGGACTACATGTCATGTATGATCTTACCAAAATATTTACAGTGTCTGCTGAAAAACTTAAATGAACTTTCTAAATTGTATTCTTATCAAATTGCAACATATATTCCATGCACTAAAAATTGAGTGCACACTGGACCACCCATAGACTTCCACACTTCCACAACATTCTTCCAATTAAATGTAATAGATTGTTAAAGAATTATCTGGTGAACATTCAAAGCTATATTTCCAGATAAAAAAAACATGAAACTTACGATCTTGGCTTCTGAACCATCGTGTAGATCTATACAAGTCCCAACTCTCATCATCCACAGAACAACACCTCAACTAGAACAAAATATCATACTATTAAATATATTTAATGTTAAATTACCACAGTTCTAGATGCTTTTTGGCTAATAATGATGGGTACGCCATGCTCTGTGCAATGATAGACAGAATTGTGGTCATGATTTACCTGATGCTACTTTTTACAATATGCCACAATTTGAAATGAAAGTTTTCTTTGTGTTTCTGGACTGAACAAGAGAAAACCTGAAGGAACAGATTGGGCAAAGTCGTGGTGAAGTTCTGACTTTCAAAAAAACTAGCTGACTAAACAATGAACAGAAGAAAAAAATCACAATGGACAATCCTAAATAATACCTCTCTTTGAACTCTATCCCAGGCATTTGTGGCAGTTCTTTCTTCTGTTGAATCACCACCATATTTTTGAATCAAAGTATCTTTCATCGAGTTTCTCATTTCAGATTCCAGCTGAAAGTTAAAATATATATATATATATATACATACATGTATTTAGTCTAAGTTCAAGTAATCTTGGCTATTTATAGCCAAGATTTATAGCTGCCAAAATGATCGAGGCTTCCTTAGAAATGTGAACAGACGACAACAATGTTTTATAGACATGCTTACCTCCCCTTTAAACACCACTGCTAATATAGCTCCAATTATCAAAAATATAAAGATCACTATCCATATTACAAAATACTGAAAAAAAAGATATATATATGAATAAATATATGACCATCTTTGTCACATCAATTTCAAATATTAGTAAAACACATTATTATAATTTTATGAGTGCCAGTGGTATGTATTAATTATATAACGTTTTATAGGAACTAAAGGAGCTATAGCATTTTCAATATTCAGGATCACATAGATCAACATAGCATCATACACTGCCAAACTTCTTACGTGATCTCTTTGTTTATGATCAGGTACCAACATACAAAGCATCAAGTAAAATAAGAACATGTTTGAAAAATCATGGAGCTATATACTCAAATCACAAAGTTTGAAGTATGCCTTCGGTCAACATTGTGTTTAACCTCAAATCAGGTTTGATATTTTGCAGAGTATTCAATTTGAAAGAGATCTTTTATGCCCCTACACTTATTCATGTGGACAGCTCCTATGTCTGTCGATCTGTAGGCCTACGTCCCACATTTACTTTTCGTCGAATATGATCTCGCACATTAGGAGTTCTAAAGCTCTGGCAATTTTCAGCCACCTATCTGGACATATATTGTGACCACCTATATCTATCCTGCAGAGCATCAAATAAATGGAAAGAAAACCGCACATAAAGAGCATACTTACCACTATGATTAATATTCTTTTTTCTTGTGATAAAGATATAAAACCCAAAATACAAACACCAATTACTATTATCCCAGATATGATAATCATATAGGCTGCTGCAGTAAATATCTCATTTCCAATAATATCAGATACATAGACTTTATCTACTACTGTCCATATACCTACACCAAACATACATACTCCAGCTATCTAGAATTATAATTATTATACAGAATTAAACTTTGCTCTCAATACCATTATTGGTGTGTAAGATGCAATTGATCATGTGACAAACTGAATAAAAGACAATGACACATACTTTTATTGATACAATTTCACTGTTTTATATGATCATGTGATCCACATTCTGATCTAAATCATACTTCTATAATAGTACATGGACTGAAAAAGCATAACCCTTGACTGTATTGTGATTCTGTACGATACACAGGGAGTTCGAAGAATATTTGGTAATGTCTTGAAGGACTCATTACTAGTTAAACTAAATCTTTTCTATACATGATGACCAATTTGACTTTTGTCATGAATTTGTCATGGTAAATATTCAAAAACAAGAGACCAAAAAATGGGTAAAGAGGTTTCTAGATTACTATATATAAATCTTTGAGAGTAGTTTCCTAATTTTGAAGGTTATAATGTGAATTTTAGTGATCCACATGGTATATGAGATTGAAAATAAAATCCCATTCTTAAAAACTTACCAAGAACACAGTATTAAATATAAAGAGAAAAAGTTTACAACAACTTTTACTGATTCCCATTCTATAACAGCTTCAGACTAATCTTCAATTCCACTATATTGTGGATGATACTTAGGTAAATTTTCTTATCAATGTAGGTTTTTATGATATCTATAAATAGAAGAAATCAGAATTATTCCAAAAGGCTCACACTTAATGTTCCAAAGTTAAATTAGAACTTTGTTCGATGGAAAATTACAATGAACATATATTATAATTCATAGCCTGATTTAACTCTCTAGTCTAACTATTAACATCCAATTTTAACATTTATTAAACAAGATTTTCTCTCAAATGTGGCTCAACTTACCCCGCTCTCCCCTAAGTGAAAACATTTTCAATTTACCATGCAATCCATGAATATAATATAAACAATTAATAAATTATATTGGTCCACTAGTATCCATTCATAAGAAAAAAGGTGAGTCATATTTATGTTACCTTTCTTTGAGATAATCTGTAGGCTACTGTGTGTACTATTACTGTCACTAACTGCAGTTAAGAGGAAAATAGTCGTTTCTCTTTGTCAATCAAAAATTAATTTGTATAAAAATCATAATAAATGATTGATTTCTTAATTAAGACTTTTAATTTGCGCTTAAACTTTTTGATGACATAATCGCACAAATATTTACGATTGGGAAATGACCGACATTAGGTATGATCGGTATATAATAAGTGATCGTTGAAAAGTCGGTCTCGACTCGACAGAATTGGAATTAGTCAGCTTGGAATGTCTTAAATTGTTAAATTCTTCTAAGAGAGAAAGATAACATAATCAAAATTTCCGTCATCCATTAGTAGAATTGATAAATCTTCAAAACATTTGTTGATGGAAAGAAATATTGGCTTACCTGTCTTTCAAATTTTCACCTGCTTTCTACCTGATAGCTGATAAATAGCGCCAAGTTTGTCTGTAAGTTACTCAGATACCATAAGCTGTATTCTTATCTTATGCTTTACACGGGCCTAATACTATCACAAATATTACAGTAGGACGAACGTAATAGATTGCTTTATAACATTTCGTGCAGCAACAGACATTTCTTGCAAAATTTATTCAACAGAAATGACGGGTCCGACTTACCTGTGTACTAATTAGTGACGATCAATAAAACTTCATTTAAACTCTTCAATTGTGAGGTAAATAAAGTAGTTTATTGCTGTTAGACTCTAACACCCAGACTTCTCCTGTCGTCGACGTACAAAATTTGGACTGGATGATAGAGGTCAATTGCTGTTGGTGCGTGAAACACGAAATTCGTCTGCTTGTCACATTCTGAACTGAAGAAACTGAGAACAAATTAGGAACCACGACACGGCACTTCTCTTTTATGATTTAGACAAGATTTTCCAAATAAAAAGGCAGTGTCTAGTTACTAAGTACTAAGCGTGTCTACAGGACATAAACATGTGTTGCAATCTGGCCCGTATAATTATTTCAAAATGACTAATGAGTGCCTTTCAATTTCAAAACGTCCTTTGTTTTTTAAGAAATGGAAATCAACCCCTATAGAATGGTCTACACTATATTTCTACTTTTTGAAACGCATATGTGCATGTTGTAGAAAATATTTTTAATCATTTAAAATGGTGTAGATTGGTGGTAAACAGAGAGACTCAAGTCTTATCTGGTCAAATAAAATAAAATAAAATAAAAACTTAATAGTGGTCTGTAGTCAACAATCATATAAAAACGAGTTACGGTATCTTGAGTTGTATGCCACACATAAACAAACAAAAATGGGTGACAAAGACGTGAAAGATGTTGAGAGAAGAAATAGAAAGCATAAGGTAGGACTAGTAGTCTTAAATGCTCATCATAAATAAGCTGAATTTATTAACAATTGTTTTTCGCGTTTCACATCGCAGACTCTACTGTGGTACCGCCAGTGCCAAGCCAAACAGTCGCACTCATCATTGACTACGTGAGTTGACATTGGCAGCAGCACAAACTACAACACAGCACAGGCACAGGGGAAATTGGACAGGGACCGACATGGGTTTAGAAAATATTTATTTTCCGACAACTATGGCTTCAGAATTGATTTTTTTCCCCTCATTTTTCAAACATTCAAAGTAAAATTATCACAATCCTTATTTTGTAAACTTCATTAATTTGCTTTTAAATATTTAACTCTTCTGTATATGGTTACTTGTCGAAATATTTCCTATTTTGCTGAAGAATGATTAACATGTTTCTGATTCTTTTTTAATAGTTTCCAAGTGTTATTAATCTAAATGTTGGTGGAAAATTCTTTGCCACAAGGTTGTCGACATTAAGAAAGTACCCTGACTCCATGTTGGCTGTCATGTTCAGTGGTAGACATGACGTAGACAAGGATGCAGAAGGGAATTTTTTTATTGATAGAGATGGACAATATTTTAGTCATATTTTGAGTTTTTTACGACATGAAGATTTACCTCCAGCTACTGTAGCTGAGAATGTGATGAAGGAAGCCATGTTTTATGGAATATATGCATTGGAGGACATTTTAAAAAGTTCTCCAGCTTTGTTTGCAGAATATGTCGTCCGAGACAATATTCGCCAAAAATTAGATTCTTATGAAGACATTAAAAGAAGAATCACTGGTCTGGCTAAGCAACAAGCCTTAGATTTAAGTGCTATTTCATCAATGGTGAAAGTTGTGGTCACAAAAAATCAACCAATTCCACAAGATCTGCAATTTTCTTCTAAAGTACATAAGCAATATTTTCGCAGATTTAAAATCTATTCTACTTTTGAGATGTGTTTTGGAAAACATTATATCAATATTCCTGCAGAAAAAGTTTATGGCGCGCCTGATGATATCATGGATCTTATAGCAAGTTGTATGACAAATGATCTTCGTAAAGAAGGTTATAAAGGCCATGTGAAGCGAGAAAGTGTCACGGAAGAATACAGTAAAATTAAAACCATATCATGGAATGAATCAGAATTTCATGTTTGTGTTTGTTGCCATAGTTTCACCTTCAATTGGCTGGAGACAGACATTATTAGCAGAAAAGATACCTCAATTTCCGAATGAGATGTCGTTGTATCAAGGATGTTCTGTTCACACAGTCACACTACCGGTACTTATTTTCATAAACTCTTTCTCAGTCCTAGATTTCTGTTATTTCTTTTCGATACTGGTCAATCAACCAAAACAGAAATCTGCAAATGTAAAGTGAATACTTGTATGTATATCAAAGATGTTTTGTACACAAACACTATTTCCTAGCGTCTGAAAGTATACTCTAAAGGTGCATTTATACCTGTGACATTCTGAAACCAGTTTTTGATCTTGAAAAGGCTGTGTGAATAGCGTCAAATGATAGGTGCAATAATGGTTTAATGCAATTTTGGATTTTAGTTCTATGTCATAGTAAAATAAAAGATTGTGGCCCTATAGACAAGAAGTGGTGATAAAACATAAACTTGAGTAATTGTTAATGGCACTAGACATCATAGCCATAGGTTTATTATTCTGAGTAAAACCTACCAAGTCTATTTGTTCATATTATATTGAAGGACTCTTTGGTCCCATTATTATAGTAAGCTTATATAATGGTGTTCATGCTATATTAAATAAGGTTGTTGGTATCTTTTTTTGCTCTATTCATCTTTATTTGTCCAAATTTTAATTTATTTATTGTGCAACTGTGCATGGCTTTAGTTGTTATATGAATGCTATCACCATAAAGTTATTTAAATTTGTTATATATAAAGATTATATGATATTATAAGGAAGAGATTGAAATGAAATACTTTGTATAAAACACCGTCTAACAGAAAAATATTTATAAGAAGCCATTATCCTGTCTCTTTAGTATGGTGTCTGATTTAGGACACATGCATCTCTTTTTGTATCTTATAGCGACCAAAAGCAAGACCAAAAGCAAATTTAAGATTTCTGTGTTTAACATTTTTACGACAGCAAGAGGTTGAGTTACTGGTAAAAGTCAGCCAATCTCTTATTTAAATCTTTTGTCCTAAATCAGCTACTATAGTTTTTATTATTATATAAGATAAAGGTATTCATTTACATGTATGTTTCTATTGACACACTTACTGTTGAGTAATATAGGGGCCTTGTCAAGATTAAGACTCTTGATATGACTGTATTTGCTGAAACAGAAATGTATTGTGCATTTTCATATATCCATTTACTGGCTTGTTTTCAGTCCATAAAGAAATTTATTGTACTTAGCTGGAAACTGAAGGGATTGTGAAGAAGTTCTCAAAACTTTTTATGTGTATGTGGGACACTGATGGATAGCATGTATTTACACCAGTCAGATTTTCAGTCAGACTTCTGTGGTTTTTGTTATTGGCTCAAACTAAGTGCTAAGATATTATGAACATTTTTTGAACATCTTTTTGAAAACATGTAAAAGCCATAAACTGTCCTGATACACATAAAATAGGCTACAAAAACATTTTTACAATCCCTTTAACTTGGCAATGTTTCATATCATCAAATCTCTTGGTATCTTAATCTCTTAAACCCTGATAAAATGTTTATAATTGTTCACTTTTTATATGTTATTTGTTTATAGTCAGTTTTAATTTATAAATTTATTTACTTAAAAACCCTAGTTAATATTTATACAGCTTTCACATGTTGTTGGTAATTGCCTTAATTGTTTTGATTTGTTATTATTTGTTGTCTAATGTGCCTTATTTTGATATAGATGCCACCCTTGAAGCCATCGCACCTATTTTGTATGATTTTGTCTCCTATTTTGTTGTAAAATTACAAATATTAATTTGCCATATCTAAAGGTTACTGTTTGTCTTTAAAAACTATACCACTAATATAAGATCAAGGGACAAGTCAAAATAATAGTAAATTTTTGAAAAGCACAAAAGCTAAAAAATTGTGTGTCTCAAGAGGATTTTAAACCATGCCATTTGATCCTTTTTAGCAGCTAGAATCCAGCTTGCAATGTCAGATGATGGTGATAATTATATTTGAGATCAGACAGTCATCATTAAGTTGACCTCATTAGAACAATTAGTCAAATACTTGACTTGGAAAACCAATGGATTAATGACATCGTTATCGATCATAATTATATACAAGTAATCAATATTATATTTATAGATATTTCTGAAAATATTAGGCATACATACTGAATAATCTTGAATCAATAATATTTTATATGAACTAGTTTGTTTCTATATAGAATTTCTTGAGGTTCAATATTTACTTCAACTTAGTATGATTTAGTTTAACTCAATATTGACTCAGCTAAATTGTTGTAATGTTGTAAAAAGATTGGAACCTTATATATATTCGAGACACTGATAGCATTGATTTACACCATTCAAATATTCAGAAGTTTGAGGTTCTTGCAATTCCACTAAATCTAGGCATTTTATGACATCTACATTGCAATAGCTGCAAATAATATCTGAGAGCCTTTTGAAATAGTGTCGTCATTAAAAGCTAAGTTAAAGTTGAATTGCAAGATCACAGATGTCGACTGAAAGTCAAAATTCATCTCAAAACTAACTATACCATATTGACTTCAATATTTGAATGTCAAGAACTGTAATATGAAAGTGATCAGTAATATGATCTAGAAGTTAATAATAATATAAGGTGTGATATTTCTATTAAAACTTTATTGTGAGCTTTGGTTGTGAAAATATAATCTATTTCATAAACTATTCCTATATTATTTAATTACAGCTCTAGATATTTTGACTCTTAATCATTAGGTTGCTAATATATGAAGTAATATGTAACAAAATATCAGTTATTGATTAAAGGTATAGTATTCAATCCATTTACGGAATATAAAAAAAGGTTAAAAGGGACAGGTTTGGCATTTTTATGGATTTATTTGTATATACGTAAATAGTCTTTAGAAGTACTAGAAATGAACAAATATTGTGCAATTCCTTAAAAATTCCTCTAACTAGGTATTTCTATTATGTCTTTAAGAAAAGATGAGTCATTTTAACTTTCAAACACAGATATTTCTATACAAATGTGGATTTCAAGGCTCAAATTTCGACGGTAGGCTGTGAATACTAATACTGATTGACTTAGCTAAAAGAATTCTGAAACTACAGTAAATTTGGTCAAACTAATGGCAAACCTCTCCCTAACAAATGTCAAATGTGTTTAATACAATACATCTACTTATTTGTAAACATTTCTTCAGATATACAAAGAGTCTATTGTTAGTTATTTATAAAATCTTTTATCATACATCTATCCAACTGAAAAAATTACTTTGCATTTGAAGCTTTTTCATACAAATGTAATTTATCATTATTTTCATCTTAAAACTTTGCCTTAATTCATAAACTTCTGCACTGTATATTTTTTAAACCCATTATTGTTATGTGCCATTTTTAGCTTTGTTTTTTAAGTGGGATATTTGTTTTATTTAAATGCACTTTTATTTATACAATTTTTGTTATTGAAATATATTACATTACTTAAAGAATAATGTTTTAATATGTTGGATAAGGAGTCTTTTTGGTGATAATGGTAATATATGATGATAATGGTAATATATGATCATTATATGATAATAATATCGGTATGCAATTACCATAGAATTACCTCGGAAACGTTCTATTGTCGGAAACACAATAATTCTATGAAAAATCTACAATACCACTCTTAAGCTTAGATTGGTTGGACTGAAGACCATTAAGAAATGAAATAAAATAGAGTTTTACATCCTATTTATATGAACCTCATTTGGCTGTTAAGGATGGGCAGAGAGCAATGAGGACAATTTTGACAAAAGAGTGGCATGAATATTTTTTTTTTCCACCTGTTGGGAGATATTTAATCTACACAGCCTGTAGCACACAGGGACTTGTTTTTTTTTCCATCAAAACAATTAAACACTTCCCATATCAGCTTCTCCAACTTACGTGAAATTATCACGACCTGGACTTTCAGGTTAGTGAGCAAGCTGAACCACCACAGCTGGTGAAGACCAATAGGAAGGATTGATTGCTGCTTTATTTGTCAAATATTTCTAGCTACAAATATACACATGAGTATGCAAAACTCAATTTAATTTTCATCGAATGTGATGCATGCAAAAGCATAAATTGCATAGGAAGATCCATTATGGAAAGTACATGCTGCTTGCATGACACTCTTCCAGATCGCCTGAAAGTCTCTTGGTAACTGAGATTGCCTTCTGCCTTAGAGTTCTCTCACAGCTAATAACATTTATTTTGTCTATATATTTATAACTAAAGAGTGTAAATTAAGAAATAGCCGATATTACACTATATGAAGAGGATCTGTGTCTATATCAGATATCACAATTGAAACATCAGTTAGAGTCTTATATAGTTCTTGTTTAACTTGTTTTAAATATCTTCTCTCAGTATTACTATGTTCACATAATATAACATTAGCTCCATTATATACAGCATCTAATACATCATGATGAGACATTTCACCAGTTACATAGAGATCAGCTCTAACACCTCTTAATACACTAGAACCTGACCCTGCACATACTGCTACACTTTGTATTGGTTTATTACCTTAAATACAATACACATCTTTTAATCATAATTGAGGACAAATTTAAGCTTTTCAGTTTTCCCACAATAATTCAGATGCGTCTTATATCTTATTTCCAATTGGTACTACTACTCAAAGTGAAATGGATTATCTAGAGTAGGTTAAGGCAAAGCAATGATGGTCTATAAATTACTTAAAAGGTTTAGCAGTGCTAAATTACAAGATTTCAGTTTTGTTACATGATTTACTCACTCTCATTAAGTTTTATTACATACTCACCTCTACATCACTTACTAAGTTAAGCAGTACTAAATAACTGATGGCTCAACTCAAAATTACTTTCACAATTAGCAGTGCTAAATTACTTCCTGACAGATTTAGCAATGCTAAATTACTAACTCAACTCTAATATATACTTTCTCACCACTCAATTACCTATTGGGTTTAGCAGTACTACATTACTTACTAGGTTTAGCAATGCTAAATTACTTACTCACCACACAATTACCTACTGGGTTTAGCAGTGCTAAATTACTCAACTCTGAATTACTTACTAGGTTTAGCAATGCTAAATTACTTACTCACCACTCAATTACCTACTGGGTTTAGCAGTGCTAAATTACTCGCCTTTTAATTATTTACTAAGTATAGCAATGCTAAATTACTCACCACTCAATTACCTACTGGGTTTAGCATTGCTAAATTACTCAACTCTAAATTACTTACTAGGTTTAGCAGCAAGTCGGATGTGATTTAATTGTAAATGTAATTGGTACTACTACTCAAAGTGAAATGGATTATCTAGAGTAGGTTAAGGCAAAGCAATGATGGTCTATAAATTACTTAAAAGGTTTAGCAGTGCTAAATTACAAGATTTCAGTTTTGTTACATGATTTACTCACTCTCATTAAGTTTTATTACATACTCACCTCTACATCACTTACTAAGTTAAGCAGTACTAAATAACTGATGGCTCAACTCAAAATTACTTTCACAATTAGCAGTGCTAAATTACTTCCTGACAGATTTAGCAATGCTAAATTACTAACTCAACTCTATTATATACTTTCTCACCACTCAATTACCTACTGGGTTTAACAGTACTAAATTACTTACTAGGTTTAGCAATGCTAAATTACTTACGCACCACTCAATTACCTACTGGGTTTAGCAGTACTAAATTACTCGACTCTTAATTACTTACTAGGCTTAGCAATGCTAAATTACTTACTAAACACTCAATTACCTACTGGGTTTAGCAGTGTAAATTACTCAACTCTAAATTACTCACTAGGTTTAGCAATGCTAAATTACTTACTCAATACCCAACTACCTACTGGGTTTAGCAGTGCTAAATTACTCCACTCCAGATCACTTACTAGGTTTAGCAGCAAGTCGAATGTGATTTAATTGTAAATGTGTTTTAATCCTATCAACAGCTTCTGACACAGTTATAGGTGTTTTTAACTTTCCAACCCTTCCACCTCCAAATCCAATCTTTGGTACCTACAATTCACCTCTATGAATGAACATACAATTTAAATTCTCTAACTTGGCCAATAAGAGTACATATTCAACAGAAAGAAAAGATTATTCTGTGATTTTGATATTTTTATAGGGTTTCATAAGCCAATCAAGTCTGATCGATGGTTCATGATGGCATTCTTCAAATCGTTTTTTTCAATTGAAGATCATCAATACATGATACACATGGAAATAGTTTTAATATCTGAAAATTAGTTCTATTAGTTGGTTTTAAATAACATTTCACTGAACAAGTTAATTCATACCTTTTCCAACTTGACAACATCTAGACTATCTATTTGACAATTCTCTACAACTTTTAATATTCGAGGTATATGTGAACTGGTACACAATATAGTATAAAGTTTGATATTTTCATTGGATGAACTGAACCTGGAATTATAAAAAGTAATTTTTTCATCATTCCAAAACCTTTTTCAAATTATTGATCCAAATTTCCCAATTTTGTCCAAAAACCAGAGATTTCAAATCTTTTCATTGGAATTATGTGTATGCCTTTTGATTTTAAACAATTTTTTACCAAGCATTCATTTATAGAATTGTGAGACCATCCTTTTCCCAAAAATACTTACACTTCACTTGAATTGACTTTGACATCCAGTGAACTGATTGCTGATTTTAATTCATCATTGGCTGAACAAGTAATGTTGATTTTATGAGTCAAGTTTCCCGGTGATTCTTCAGAGTTTTCTACAGGAGACATCTCTTTAACATCTAATGAATAAATGAAAAGAATATCATTAAAATGAAGTACATGTAGATTTAATCATTCAAAGATTTTGCAATGCCTGAATATTTTCAAAGCCTTACTTAATGATTTACTAAATAAAAAACCCAATATAGGATAGACCTGAACAGTTTCAAAGCTGTTAAAGCTCGTATTGAAAATGCTAGAAGATGAGCTAGCAGATGAAGCCTTAGACCTACTCACCAAAGGCACTAATGAGCCAATCATTAACTCCAGCAGATTTAGCATCAAAACATGTATGAGGTGAATATACAGCAATTTTATTCTCAATACATTTAACAATCAACCTTTCTTTCCATACACTCTGTCTCAGTCTCTTCATAGCAGAAAATATGGGTGGATGGTAAGATAATATCATATCTGCTTTCTTCTCAATAGCTTCATCCAGAACAGGTGGGGTTAAGTCATTAGTAAGGAAAAGAGTTTTGACAATATGTGGTGCTGATGGTTCAACAAGTAAACCCACATTATCCCAGCTTCCAGCCAGTGATGTTGGTGCATAGGTCTTTAAATTGGACACAACTTGTTGCAACTCCATTCCACCAACTGCAGATCCAATAGGCTTATTACAGAAATAACGACACGGTGGTACAAACAATCTTCTGCTTTCTGTGTCACTGCAAGTATTTACTAGTGGAAACAATGATCGATTCCAACCACCTGTTGTAGATTTGAATATTGAAGCAGACGTTTGGACAAGGTTTATATTTGTCAAAACTACTTTTTCGTTTGGAATTCTAGAACGGCAGCGACTGACACTAGTGAGAAACGTTTGATATCTTGAGGAAATCATTAAAATTTACTGTGAAATTCACAAATATACACACAAAAGCATAAAATTGATCATATGCTTTCACGTGCAACAACAGCTTTACTTTCGATTTATCATAATCTTAAATGGAGTTGTCTCTCTTCGACAGCTCGAGTCTTGTCCTACATCTTTCCTATCAGACAGCACTAAGGTCTAAAGTGCGCAAAATGTTTATTGCTCAAATAGAAATATTCACTTGGTCGTAACAGACACAAATTATTAACAAGTGTTATGGATTTATATATTTATTTGGTTTAGACCTCGAAAAATCAACATAGAGCAAGGGACATAACTCTTAAAGGACGATTATGTAAACAAAAAAAATCAAAACTGTTCGATTAGAGTTGACAAGTTTTCAATGAGTGAATGATTGTGAACTGAAAGGTAATTTCTAAAGCAGTAAGCTTCAGAATGTAACCGAGCGAATATAAGTAAGAAAACACGTTATCGGTTTTCATTGTACGATTTTGCAAGGAATAGCCATAGGAGGGGTGAGACTTGGGGCATACTATGACCATAGGCTTGAGCATTGGGCTACTACTGGGTCTGATAACAGAGCAGCAGCTAGGAGGGGTTTAGTCTAACCAACGGGTACCAATTAAGGATAATGTAGAGAATGATGGGGCATAAATAAACGCAATGGT